TTCTATTCTATTCTATTCTATTCTATTCTATTCTATTCTATTCTATTCTATTCCATTCCATTCCATTCCATTCCATTCCATTCCATTCCATTCTATTCTATTCTATTCTATTTTTTTATTCTTATTCTTTGCTGTCACAGCCTTGATAGAATTTAAAATAGCTCATAGAATTTAAAATAATCCAAAAATCACAAAAGTCACAGCTCATAGAATTTAAAATAATCCAAAAATCTAAAACTGGCATATCTATGGGCCTTTCCCCAATTTTGTAAATGTTTCAAAAGGTGCTCTTACATTTAAAAAAATATTATAAATATACTGTAGCACCAATTCATCATTTAAATGCCAAGAATGAGAAAGCACAGAGGGTTACAGGCTGCATATTTTGGCTGCTGTCCTATTCATTTGGGGCATTACCATTAAAGTCAGTGTGATTTAGATCTAAGACTTCTGTCTTTTAGATCAATATACCTAACGAAACTGGAAGACATTAAAATGCAGGCACCCTTACAACAGCCAAACATCTTTGGGGCAATTCAGGCATCCAACTTTCTCTGCCTTACCTCTGAGGACTCATTTTTGTTGCTTTCCTTCTCTTTCTTAGCCAAGCGCTTCTTCTTTTTATGAAGTGGCTTGGACTCCAGGATCATTTCTTCAAGTTCAAAGGTTGGGTCACAGTTTAACTTCCCTTTCTAGTGAGGAAGGCACATACAGAGAGAAATTGTTATCCTTCCCCCCAAATAAAATAAACTAAAAGAAAGACATTTGAATGGACAAAGCTGTTCATTCACACCATAGAAGTAAGCCAAAACAGATCCCTCAATTAAAATTATTAGGACTCTGAAATTTCAAAATTGTTTAATATAGAGGAGAGCTTGAATTGGACAGCTAGGATTAATAATTATAAGAGTATAAAAGCCTTTAACTCCACAAACACAAAGTCCCTCAGGCTGCAATAAAGAGAGCACACTTCAGGTCCTTTCATCAAGACACATCCCCCTAATGGGACCTCAAGGGCATGTCTTCTGGGTGGCAACCCCTGATTTTTAAAAAATTAGTGTGTGTCCCCCATCCCGAAACACTGGCCGATGCAGGCCTGGAGTCCCAATTGATTGAGTTGCTATATATTTTAATCTGGTTGCCATTTATTGTATCATGTTGTTTTGGAGAGGGAAGGTACTTGTTGCTGAGTTTTGGGAAGCCCTAGAAATGTTATGAATGGATGGATGGATGGATGGATGGATGGATGGATAGATGGACTAATTGTTGTACAACTTAATTTATCTTAATATTTAAACCTAAACTACTGATTTTGGGTTTTAAGAAGTTTGTTTCTCTTCAGACTTTACCTTGTTGGTGTGTAAAATGTGCATGGTGATAGTTTATTGCTTTATACATTAAGAAACATGCCATTATTATAAATCTAGTTTCTAAATTAAAAAAACATTCAAATTAAAATTCTTACATTAGGAAGAAATCCAGGCAATACTGTCTTCTGTAAAACAGCATCCCAGTTGATATCAGCCAAGTAAGGAAACTCCTGGATATGATTCAGTTGAAAAAATCTTTCCTCTGAATTTATTTCCACTAACTAGAGATTGGAATTAAAGCAGTTTATTAAGGACATCAGAATAGAATAGAACACAATTGCAGACTGAATACAGAAAAGGATGATACAAGCCTCTTTATCTCAGTCATAATAAGGAACCTCCAGTCCATGAATTTTTACAGTTCAAGACTTTCCATGCAGCCCATAGAGTTGTTCATGTATCCTGCTCTGACTTTTCCTCAAATTCTAAGCTCCTATCTAGCACTTCTAAACTTTTTAAAAGATTACAAGAACTGGTATTGTTGTTTCAGACATAAATGTTTGTATCAGTAAACTAACTGAAGGAGGATCAAATAAGAAATGCCCAATGCAGTGTTAGAGCAAGAGTTTCCTATGTTCCTAAAATGATCTTGGATTTTAGGTTTTCCTGTATTCCTAAAATCACAGCCAATCAAATGCAGTGAGTGCATGGAACTATTTGATGTAAAATAACCTCACACTAAGTGTTAAAATGCATTCCATTGTTTGGGGAGGGGGGGATGTAGGATGACCCATATAGCTTCCATATTTAGCAGCAGCCGTGAGCTCTAGTAATGTCCTACTCCTGGTGGAATGAGTCAAAAAGCTTGGAAGGCTTAGTATCTTAACCAACATCTGATCTCTAAAGCTCACTCACCTTTTTAATCAATGAGATCATATCCTGTGACCAAGCAGCAGGATACATGATGGTGGCTGTCTTGTACATATGCAAAATTTCATTGGCAGAATTACTAGAGCGAATGTGGTATGGTCTCTGCAAGGAGAGAAGAAGGCAAGGACACTGAAACACAATCGTCATCCAACAAGAACAGATCAATGAGTTCTCTGTTTTAGGTTACAGAAGTTTTTTTAGAGGAAAAACTATCACTTTGTTGTAATGGGCTGGCAACTTGTCCAAGAGACTTCACTCTCTCTTCTCTTTCCTCAGGGTCCACTAATGTTCTTCGTTAAGGCATTGGGGACATTGGGAAATTTTTTGAAGTGAACAGATCAACAGAGGAGAGGAAGACAACAGAAAAGTAACACTTAAAAAGCAACATACCAGCAACAGCAAGACATCAAGGAATGTCCAATTGGTGTTTCACTCAATGCAAATTGAGTTCACTTTAGTGGCAGGTGTGAATTCTTTAAACATCCCTAGAAACACTTAATATTTGTATTTTTTTTCTGAACTGAAATATATTCTCTTTTAAAATAAGACAAAACAGAAGTCAAACTGACAGTTTTAAAAATGCTCTCAAAATGTTTTGTAATAAATCCTCAGGACATAAATATTTTCCCAGCATTCCTGCAATAGTGGGGCTAATCCATTCAATTTTGAAAAGAAAATTAAACAACAGAAGACTGTTTCCAACCTGTTCTTGCATTGTATTAAAGAGCAGCACAAATGGTGCCAGCCTTTAGAATTTGTGCAAAAATTGCAGAACAAAATTGCAACACTGGGAGATACAAGCTCACCTGACATGTTGCCTATGCCTACCTTAGAAATTAAAAGCAAAACCTTTAGCCACCTCTGAGCTTTTGTAAAGAGCAACACTGTCAAATTCTAGTCTCAATTTGCTGTCTGCTGCCACCAGTACAGCAGAATGACAAGCGAGGATGAAAGAAAATGTGTCATAGGCACGTAGGGGAAAATAGAGATGTTATTATTTCAGAATCATAAGCAACTTTAGCAACATTCCCTACATTTCCAGGATGCAGTTTGGTATTGTCTCTTTATGAAGCAGTTTAAGACATAGCTTCTCACTTCAATCATCTGACTACATTGGAATTTGTGTTCTTGAATTATGCAAGCTTTTCAATAGCATTTTTTTTTACAATAACCCAAGATTTTGCATTTCAAATAACAACTTTATCCAGAACCTATTTAATATTAGTTATGTGTTACAGAAAACAACCTGATCAAAATAGAATTCTATCAAGAAAAACAAATCAGATACAATGGGGAGAAAACAGAAACAGGAAGATTTGAAAATCATTAATCTAGGCACACATTCAATAATGTTTAACTTTGGTGTAATTTGCTTTGCGTGTACACAGAACAACAGCAAAGAATACAGAAAATACTGTATAAGCCACCATGTATTCAAGAAAACATTTTGCTTTTACAGTTTTTTTTAAAAAACAATATAACCTTTTGATTGAATCATAATAATTCAGTTTTGAAAATCAAGCAACTATTTAAGAAGTAATTATAAATTAGGGACTTCCGGTTCGGGCTTCTTTGGCAACGGACTGAAATCCACAATCGTGCACAGTTTTGATCCATGCTCACTGCTAGAGCGCCCCAAGCCACTTGGATTCAGGGCTAAGCCACCCCATAGAGGTGGTGAACAAGGGGGAAACTGCCAGCGGGGTTGAGGAGAGCCGCATCTCTCCTCCTTGGCTGGCCATTACTCTCTTTCCCAAAGATCGTTGCAGCGGTGGTCAGAAATGGCCACCTCAAAGAAGAACCCGACCGGACAAGATTGTGCAGGAGAAAGTTTAAAGGAGAAAATTTGACTGACTGGGTTGAACAGAGAACATCTATTTAAGATACCTGGGACTTAAATTTTAAAGACTAATACTACTCCTAAAAAAGATTTTAAGTGGCGAAAGAGAAAGGGAAAGGAAACAGAATTGGCTTTTTTTCCTCTCACATTGACAGTTTCAATTGATTTGTAACATTAAGAAGAAGAGATCTGAACAAGAAATTGATACTAATCCACTTTGACATTAATAGGCTTTTTTTAGCTGAAAATAAAGTGTCAAAGGGATAAAGATTCCTGGATAATGTAAAAACTTTTTTTTCTAAAAAGAAAGAAAGTAGAGGAGGAAAAAAGGAAAAAGGAAGGTGGAATTTGGAAAAATGGAGGAGTCCACCTGGAACTTAAAAGAATCGATAGTGGAATTTTAACAAGGCTTGCAAAAGATACATTGTAGCTGAAATTTTGTTACAAGACAAAAAAGCCCCTGGAAAGAGAAAGTGAGAAAAGAAGCAAGAAACAGCTTTGGATTACTCGATGATTCCTGGAACTTTGGATGGTGGATTTCAATGAAATAAAATAAAATCAATTGGGGGTTGTTTAAAAAACTTTAAAATGGCATCACTCCTTGAAGAGTTAAAAATGAGACTTAAAGAACAAAAAGAAGAAGCACAAGATGGAAGAGGATCTTTTGGCTTCGTATTTCAATTTTTAGAAATGGAGATTTTGAACTACGAAAAACAACAAGAAATGCTGGCAGAACAAGAAGGGTGGGATAAAGAAGAAGCCATCTTTAATGACCAAGCAATTTTAGGTGGGGTAAAAAAGGGAAAAGGGGGAAAGGGAGTTAAAAACTTAAGACTTGAAGCAACAAGCAAAAAAAAGAGTAATTTGAAAAGTAATCATAATATCAGTAAGAAGCAGAAGGGAGGATCATAGAAGGGAGAATCAGATAGAAAAAGGAACAAAAATGGGAGGGAGAAGAAGAGGGGGAAGAGGGAAAGGAAAAGAAGCTACAAAGGACAGAAACAAGATATAGAGGTCCAGGAAAAACGTACAAGAATTAAAGGTATAAACCTATTTAAAAGACACAGAGACAATGGTTAAAATTTAACTTAAGGAGAGGATTCTGTAAGGGTGCATGGGATAGCATTTTTATATTAAAAATAGAAAAGAGTTAGAAAATATGTTAGATGATTAAAGTGATAGAAAAAAATTGTATTGACATGTAATGGAATATTTGTTTGTAATTAAAACAAAGAGGATAAGAGAATAAGGCTCTCAATGATTTAAAAAGAAAGTAAAAAAACTGAAAAGAAACATGGAAGATTTTTATCAGTTGACAAGATGAATTTGAATAAGAATTATAACATTATTGATTACTGTTAACTATTGTTTTGTTTTTTTATTTAAAGACAGTAATAAGTAAAATATGAAATATAGATGATTAAAGTGAAAGACAAGTGATATTACTAGGTAATATTTGTTAATAGAAATGTAAAAGATTGTTATTAATATTAATGGCAGAGCTGTACTTGAATAAAATAATTATTTTATTTACTATTGTTATACATATATACACAGATATATATATATATATACTTGATTTTCACGGGTACAGGTATGCAGGTCTTGGCGTGTTCAGGTCTTTTCCCGTGTAAGATTGAGAGTATCTTGGTGACGTTTTGACAAGGTCCCACTGTGATGACCTTCTGAGTTCTATTGTTGTGACATCCTGGGTCTTGTGCTGTAATCTCCTGGGTCGTTGGCTGTGTTGTAACATCCTGAGGTTTTCTGGTGTAACCTCCTGAGTTCTGTGATGTGATACCCTGAGCGGGTAGCTGTGATATGATGTTCTGGGTTTTGGTTTGGCTCCGAGTTTGAGGCCTGGCTATGTGTTCATGGCGTGTGTCTGTTTTCTTGGTTTGGGGGTTGGGATGTGTGATGCAGCTTGTGATGCAGCCATGGTCTGGTTTCTGGATGGTGGTTGCCTTACGTCTATGGGGTGGGTTTGGGTTTGAGTCTGGTGAGGGAGATTGGTGATGGCATCATGTGTTGTTTTGAGTCCGGGGTTGGTTTTCGTGGCTGGGACTCGTTTGTTGATAAGGGCTAGTTTCCAGATGTCTGGTAGGCGGGAGGTATCATCCCGCTTATTCATGTTATGGGGGTGTTTCTCTATTTTGATGGCTTCCCTGATTATTCTCTTGTTGAAGTGTTCAGTATTGGAGATTAATTTGGTTCCCTCACAGCCCATGACCCAGGTCATTACAACCCAGGAGATTACAGCACAAGACCCAGGATGTCAAAACAATAGAACTCAGAAGGTCATCACACAGCCCATTACCCAGGTCATTACAACACAGGAGGCTGATAGACACACAGCCAATACCTCAACCACACATATTCTTATGAAAAAGCCAGCCAATCTGCAAACCAACCTCCCCACCAGTATTTATAGAGAGACAGCAGCTCAGATCACGCTTTGCTCGCACAAGCACGAAGCCAAAAGCATCAGCCTGAAGATGGCGATTGGGACCTCGTCAAAACATCACCAAGATACTCCCAATCTTACACAGGAAAAGACCCGAACACACCAAGACCTGCAGATATATATACATATATACTTTTTTTTCTTAAGAATTTAGTCTGTATTTTTAAGGGAATGTACCAAGCAGAATTCGGTTGAAAATAGGTATGTGTTATAAAATAGAGGTTAGAAAATGAATGTTATAACTGTAAAGGTGCAACTTCAATTTTAAACAAGATTTGAAAAAAAGATACAAGGGTGTTACACTCCAGTTTAGTAATTACAGGGGAAAATTTGTTTTATGAGAAAAGATAATATGAAATTGTAAACAGGACAGACGAAAGTATAAAAATATTGATTAGAAAGATTTTAAAAATTAGAAAAAGATAATTGGATTAAGAAAGGTATGAGATAACTTAAAATAAGGCTATAGAAAGTAAAGAAAGGGAAAAGCTATTGAAAAAATTGTGAAAATAATTATAAGATATGGATTAGAATGTATAAGATGAATATGTATTGAGTTTATGTCTGTATGGAGAAGTGATAACCCGGGGTCATGGTGTTCTCAAAAAAAGATATTTTATTTGTATTTGTATGTTTTGTGAAAACCTAAATAAAACTTTATATATATATATATATAAACTAATTATAAATTAGGTTTTTTTCTCTCCTCTGCATAAGATGTAACTGGTATTAACAGATTAATATAACCCTTAAACAAACATTACTTTAAAACTAAAGAAAACAAATGTGTTGTGCTTTAGAAATTTTAACTACTTCCAATAATCAGACAAGCAACATGTTACTAACTTGGAATTGTCCCACATACTCAGCTCCAAGAAAACTATCCTACCCCCATCCCCAGACTGCTTCTAATGGGATCATATATGCCTAGATAATTTTTTTTAAATGGCACAAATACCCTTGAATAGGAAATTATAAATGTGATACATACTATCCCTAAGATAAAGAAAAAGAACAAATAAAAACTTGCCTATCTACACTATAATAAATTTCCTACTTTATTCATATGTTTCATAAAATGCCTACTGTCTTCTACACTATCCACTGCACAGTTTGAAAATATGTTATGACCCAATGAACCAATAAGGCAAGTTGCAGCATGAAATGTGTTGGGTTTCTAATTCACACACAGCAGTCCGCTTCTTCAGAATGATGGATCCTTGATCCATAATTATGAAAGGTCTTTTGAAGTATAATTCCATTTTCTTCCTTTATAGCTTTTGAATTGATATTTTGATGATACACTTTACAGCACACATTGACATTTATCAGACAATTAATATCTTTAAGCAGAGCAGCTTCTCTTTAGAATTTTAAGGACCCTACTACAGCTCGATTTACAACAGTTCATTTAGTGACCGTTCAAAGTTACAACAGCACTGAAAAAAGTGACTTCTGACCATTTACCACACATACTACTGTTGCGGCATCCCCCTGGTCACATGATCAAAATTCAGATGCTTGGCAACTGACTCAGGTTTATGATGGATGCTGTGTTCCGGAGGTCATGGGATTCCCCTTTTGCGACCTTCTGACACGCAAAGTCATTCGGGAAACCAGATTCACTTAACAGCCACTTTGTTAACTTCACAACTGCAGTGATTTACTTAACAACAGTGGCAAGAAAGAAAATGGGGCAAAACTCACTTAGCAAATGTCTCACTTAGCAAATGTCTCACTTAGCAACAGAAATATCGGGCTCAATTGTGGTTGTAAGTCGAGGACTACTTGTATACAGTGCATGCAGATCTGGAAAGCAATTGTTTCCGAATAGTCTAAACATGATGAAATGCTGAGTGGATAGATAAATGGATGGATTGGTCCAACAATACATATACATATTAACTGTACCCTACCCGGCCTCTGAGGAGTTCATAAGCTGTAATTCCTAATGACCACCAATCAACAGCATAGGAATAACCTGCAGTTTTTGTAGCAGTAAACATCTCAGGTGCTGCAAAAAAGAGAGAGAGAAATTTAAGGTTTGCCTTAGGATGGAATATTCCACAAGATGACTGATTTTTCTTTCTGTAGTCTAATCAGTGCTGGGATTCAGCCGGTTCATTCCGGTTCGGGCAAACCAGTTGTTAAATTACCCATCCCCGGCTATCAAAGTGGGTCCTGGGTGCTGCGCTGCAATGGAGGAACGGGCAACAGAGTGGCCGGTGCAAGGAAAGGAGCAGGCCACTTTCCCTCTTTCTTTTCCCTGCTCCTTCTCCTTCCCTTGTGCTGGCCGCTCTATTGTCCTTTTCTGCATTGAAGCGCCACGCCCAGGATCCACTTTGATAATAATTTGCTTACTCAAACTAACCCCGCAGTTTCCCCTACATTGGGCGCAGCTTTGATTGTGCTACCAACTTAATTATTTGCCCCTCTCACTTTTGCCTACAGACTGACCAACACCCCCTGCACACAGTTCCAAGGGGAGGGGGGAATCCCTCCCTCCCTTTCCCCTCAATTCTTCACCTTTCTGCGAGCTCCCAGGAGCATCAACTCCTTGTCTCTATGGTAACCCCCTCGCATTCCTGAGAAACCTCGCCTCTTAAAGGAGCCACATCCGGAAGGCTGAAACAGCCATGAGACCAATGTTCAGACAAGCACCCTTGGAAACAGCCTTTTGGCAAAAGGGTGGAAATTTAGCAACCACTTCGCCTAGGGTCAGGTTGGCCATCGCGGGAGGCTCGTCCCGCATATGCGCTGGAGCTGGAGGACAGGGATGGGCCACGCCTCCCATGACAGCCAACTGACCCCAGGCGAACCAGTTGTTAAATTATTTGAATCCCACCACTAAGTCTAATACAAGTTCTCATAAGAAATTCTCTCTAGGGTTATGCAATAAGCAACTCCAGCATATCTTGAGCTGCTGGGGAATAGAAATCAGTGTGCACTTCTTCATTTATGGCCTTGTTGGCTTCCCTGAGTTGTCTGAGGTGATCTGTGGGAGAAGAGAATGCTGGGATAGACAATTTTTTTGTCAGACTCTCTTTCTTATGTGTGAATTATTAGAAAGTAAGGAGAAATATTTTGCCTTTTTTTCAATTGATTTTAATCTGGACCATCATACTGCTAACTCCTTAATCAGAATCATGCTATTCTTTTTTTTTTTTTTAAACAAGTTTTATTAATTTTTAAAACACACAAATTGTCATTATTCATTACATGTTTAAACCTTTTTTCATTGTCAATTTAACAAGTCAGATAAATTATAATTCTGTTTTAAACCATTTCCATACAACATACCAAAACCTCTTATTCAATTTCTCTTTACTTCTCTTTACTCTTATTCAATATCATTATTATTATTTCATCTGTTTCTTTCTGACTTAGTTACCATTATTCTCAATCTATATTTCTACAATTTTTAACTAATTCTCCCCCCAAAAAGACATATACACACAACACACAAAACATAAAAAAAAAATCTTTTTGGAAAGTAACTTGGACCCAGGTGTCTCTCTCTTCATGGACTTCAATTATATTCATGCTCATCTTACATATCATTACTTATTTTATTTACCATTCTAAGCCTTCTATATTAACTTCCCCACATATTTCACACTTCTTACTTCTATCTTAATTAATCATCTTAATTTGAATCATTATATTTATATCTTTTGTCCATTTTTTATCATCCCTTTGTCTCATTCCTTATAAAAAAAAAGAAAATAAGTTTCTCCTGAAATCATTAATCAGAGTATGATGCCTTTCTATCTCCCCCCTAAGTTAATCAAATTAATCTTTAAAATAATATCTAATACCCAATCCGATTTTGCTTGGTACATTCTATCTAACTAATACATCCAACATAATTAAGTACATAATTAGACAATAAATCCAAATATTAAAAAAAGATACTATAATAAAAATTTTATAATAACATCAATACCATAGTCTTATTAAACTCTTTAATTAAAACAATATTCTAAACCTCCCCTATTATTAGGTTTTAAAGCCAATCATTTTTAAACATTTTAACATTTTAATCTCTTATCAACTCTTAAATCATTACAATACTACCATCTCATCTTATGTACCTTGCAAAATCTTTTTTTTTTTTTAAAAAAAATTATACTTTATCCATTATCCAAAAAAAATTTCTTTTTTTCATTTAATTTCAAAACATTGTAGCTTTTCTCCACCTTTTCCCTTTCTTTCTTCTCCCAACAAACCTTTCTACCCCCCCTTCTTCTAGCCTCTGCCTTGCCAGCTTCCCTTCTCTGTCGTATTCCTTTTCCCTTTTGTTTACTATCATCATATTGGTTTTGCACCTTATTTTTCCCTTTCTTAAATGTTTTTTTAGATCTTAAGTCCTTAAGTCCTTTAATTTTCTTCTTTTCTCTTCTTTTCTTTTCTTTCTCTCTTCCTTCTTTCTGGATCAAGTTCTGAGATTCATTAAAAATGGCTCCTTTCTTTCTTTCTTGTTCCTCTGCTGTCTTCATCTGTTGTAATGTTTGTTGATAATTAATAAGCGCCATTTCTAAGAAAAGGAAAGCTTCTTCCACACCATCTTTACCATTTTTTTTGCTTGTTCATATTCTTTTCTTAGTTCCTCAACAGAAAGAGCCATTATAAATCTTTTCTTTTCTTTTCCCCTTCTTTCTTCTTACAACAACCAGAATATTCAAAAGAAAATAAAAAAAATAAAACAGTCCCAAAGTTATCAGTCAGTCCAAACCAAGGCAGAGTTCTCACTTTCTCCTTCTGGGGTAATATCAATCCAAGAGAAAGAAAGTCCAAATCTGTTTAAAATCTTATTGCAATATATTCTAGTCTTCAAATCCTTAAGGCATCTGCTCCAACAAAGTCTTAGCATACAAATGTTTTCTTTTAATCCTCTCTCTTCCCACTCATCGCTTAAAACCAATTTTCACCTAAAAGAAATAGGTTTCTTAATATCCAGTTATTTATTCCGTAGGAAAAGAGGGAAAGCTATCCTTTCAGCACCTTCAAACAGCCGCTTTTTTCCTCTTCTGGCAGGTATTATTCAGAAAGTCATACTTTTCAGGAATTTTATTAGATATGTCTTAGAGTCCTAGGAGCCAAGAAAAACTTTCTCCTCTCAATCACTTTCTCCACTTCCTCCTGCGCATTCTTACCCGGCTGCCAGCTTCTTTGTGGCGGCCATTACAGACCGCCGCTGCACCGTCCTGGGAAAAGGGAGTTCTGCCGGCCGGGGAGGGAGTCTGCAGCACCCCCAAACCCTTCTCCGGATCCCCCCTACCTTCAGCTGCCCCTGCAGGGCAGCCTAGCTCCGTACCCGGCTGGGTCGGAGCCCCAAAAACGGCTAGCGCGGCAGGGATCGCGCAGCTTCGCAAATCCCTGCCGCTCGCGAAGCCGACAAACCGGAAGAATCATGCTATTCTAATAATGGCATTTGGAGGACAGATAATCAGAATCATGCTATTCTAATAATGGCGTTTGGAGGACTAGGTCAAAATTGCATTTCCCACTTATTAAAAGTCTTACTACTTTGTCTTACTAAATTTTTTAAAAAAAGAAGAATATGAGAACCAAGAGACTTCAAAGTTCAAGTAGTTAAAAAAACATTCAGAAGGTCACTACACAATGTACTATACTTTGTGCTCTTAAACACTTTGCTCTTACTCTCACATAAAGCTTTTCACACCTCCTTCTCACAACCTCCAGGTTACATTTTGATGAACTCATTAGCTATTTGACATAGAAACAAAAGCATGAAAATGGTCGCCTTTACCATGTTATTGTTGTTGTTGAAGAAGAGCACATTTTGCATCTGCTTAATAGGTATATGCATAACAAAATGAAGCCTGAACATAATTCAAGTTATCTGAAACATTCCTTCATATTTTAAATGATTATTTCTTTGAGGGAAATACTAGCCCTACCCTCTAGCCCACTGAACTATTCCAACACATTTTAAAGTAAAATATAATATAGAGAGAGTAAATAGAAGTGGTCAGGCAACAGACACTGACTGTATGTAGTTTTAATCCAAGGTTAGTATTATCACTGGCCCCCTCCTCCAGCCATATTGCTGGCAAGTGTATTGAACAGAAAATAGCTGCAATTAATACTTTTTTGATTCTAAGAATATGTGATGAATTGGTTACAATCTTCAGTAAGTAACAAGAATAGAGGCAATAACAGTGGTTCGAGAGGAAGCATCAATAAATCTAATTAATGTCACTATGATATTATAATTTGGTATAACCTGTCAAAAGTGATATTTTGGCCCCATGTGTACCTTAACATCAATGTGGGATGGGTGATCCAATTATGACTCACATAGAGAAATCCAAGAACTCTATCTATAGTTTTGGATTAGATTTGTAGAATTTCATGTAGGTAAACTGAGGTCAGATCAGCCATCCATGCAAGGACTTTAAAGGTTAGCAGAACCAAAGCCATTCCAACTCTAGCACATGTAAGGCCAGATGAGCCTTGAAGTATTTTCTGAATCAGACTCTGTTTCTTAAAACTGTTTTAATATTTACTAAGAAGGAAGCTTAAAATGTCCATTAAAAACAAAACAATGTCATGCAAATAGCTTGGATCCATTGTCTACTCACCCATATATGGTTTCGTGCCAGCAATGTTGGTAACCTGCATATCGTTAGTTATCACTGTAGCAATATTGAAATCTGTTACATGAACATGCCCTAAGAATGATATAAAAAGATAAATTGTCAATGGAAAGTTTCTACCATATATAACTATAACAGCAGAGGGAAGCAAGGAATTTTATGTGGATTATGTGCTATGTTCCAAACAATGGATAGATTGCCTTCTCATTCTTTGAAGCTTTTCATAAAACATTATAGAACCATAATGAAAAATTTTGCATATACAAAAACCCTTAGAGAAAATCTAAGAAAGGAAAGGGACATAAGAAATCCTCATCCTTCCAGGCCACTTACAATGCTCAAACTAATCTGTCATGATTAACCAAGCCATATTTTTGACAACCACATGGAACAGTATGAGAATATTGATCTGCTCCTATCTGGACCACTAGCTCAGCATAAGGTTTATTCATTATGTATATGTTGCACAGAAAAAGAGCATGGTGAAAAGAGCTTTATAGACCTTTCCTTCAGGAAAGAAAGTAGCATGGGAATTATTTTTAATATGGATCTGTAGCTAATATATCAGGTGAAGTCTGTGGCCAGAACTGCTTTCTAATTCATTTCATTTGGTATGCAAAAAGCATCTTTTCCTAGTAAGTAACAACAAAGACCCATCTACTAATTAAATACTTGATTTTTTGTAATGTGCTCCAAGCAGGGCTGCCCTTATACGATGGAAAACATTGCTATTGTTTCTACTTTCCTGATGGACGTAGCCCAATCATATCTCATATCATAGCTGCAGAATTCCCACTATCTATTCAAATTGTTTGGGAATGTCTATCTTAGACAGCAACTGGTTTATCTGTCTACTACTCTGTGATCATATTAAGAGCAATTGCGTTCTTTTCGCTGATGATGTAAAGCTGTTCAATACCACAGACAATACTGCTACCCTACAAAAAGATCTTGACTATGTATCAGAATGGTCAAACAAATGGCAACTTCAAATCTCAACAAATAAATGCTCTGTCTTACATATTGGCAAAAAAAATCAGAAAATAAAATACAAGCTGAATAGTCAAGATCTTGTTGATGACCCAAGCTCTGTAAAGGACCTTGGAATACTCACCTCTAATGATCTAAGTGCTAGAGCCCACTGCAACTACATAGCCAAAAAGGCATTAAGAGTTGTTAACCTAATCCTACGTAGCTTTTTCTCTGGTAATATCACACTACTAACCAGAGCATACAAAACATTTGCTAGACCAATACTCGAATACAGTTCATCAGTCTGGAACCCACATTACGTATCTGATATTAGCACAATTGAGAAAGTCCAGAAATATTTCACAAGAAGAGTTCTCCACTCCTCTACTCGTTGTAGAATACCTTATGCCACCAGACTTGAAATTCTAGACCTAGAAAACCTAGAACTACGCCACCTTCGGTCCGATCTAAGTATAGTATATAAAATCATACCTTGCAATGTCCTACCTGCCAATGAATACTTCAGCTTCAACCATAACAATACAAGAGCAAGCAATAGATACAAACTCAAGTTTAATCGCACCAAACTTGATTGCAGGAAATACGACTTCTGCAACAAAGTGGTCAGTGTCTGGAATACTCTACCCGACTCTGTAGTTTCTTCCCCAAACCCCAAAAACTTTAACCTTAGACTGTCTACTATTGACCTCACCCCTTTCCTAAGAGGACTGTAGGGGGCGTGCATAAGCGCACCAATGTGCCTACCGTCCCTGTCCTATTGTTTCTCTTATTCTTTTATTTTTCTTATATGTACCCATTTCATGTATTCACAACTATGTATACACTTATACTTATTATCTTGTAAACAATTGGCAAATCAAATAAATAAATAAATAAAATAAAAATAAATACGTGAGGCCTGGATTTTTCCATGATGAGGCTTCTGAATGGAATACTAAGGCTGCATTGTGCAAAGGCTTTTGAGAAGGCTTTAAATCGGCCTTCATCTATGCCAAGTGTATTTGAACTTTTAACTGTATTTTGAACACTTTAAATAGCAATATGATGGTTTTATTTTTAATTTCAACATGCTTGAGCTTTGTAGCTAATAAGGCTTTGGTAGTGAGTACTCTAGAAATCTAATAAATAACATCACATAAACTTAGCAAAACTACAGAAGTTTGAGCTGGAGCTTAAAATATGATCCTCCAAGGAAGGAAAGCCACTGGAAAACAAGCAGTCTTATAACATTCTAAATATAGGTATATAGGCTGCAAAAACAATGTCCCGGGGGGGGGGGGGGCGGAATTGAACAATAGGTAAAAGGCTTTTTGCACACATGAATGAAATTACACACCTCTCTTGCCATGGTTGGGGAAACACAGAGAAATTGCAAGGAGGAAATAGTTAGAATGACCTCAGTTTCAAGGACAAATGGAGAAAAGACAATTCCAAATATATTCTAAAAAAAACCAACTAAAATGCATTAAATTGAAAGCCTTTGCAAAAATACGGATATCAATGGTCCCCTTTAAACCCATACCTTGATCACAACATTGTCACAATAATAGCGCTGATTAAAACATTGGGGCAAGCAAACGTCACTGGGATTGTTGGTTCCTACCCTTTGACTAGTTGCTATCGTCAATACTAATTACCACAAAGTAGACTGTTCCTGCGTATCATTTCATTTCATGGAGAAGAGGCAAGAAAATGATGCTAAGATATGAAACAAAACACTTTTGTGAAACTTTCTCAGAAGAACCTAAATATTTTTTCAAAGGAAACATACTTCCATATTTAATCACCATACTATGCAGAATTAAGTGTGTCATCCAATACACATTTACTTGGAACTACGTTCACTGAATTTATTCATTTACTAAGAAATATATATTGGATTCACTTTATTAAACCTCCAAGCATCTGTGGGGACTAAAACAGAGTAACAAAAGACAAAACGCATAATGTTGTCTATCTCTTATTGCTTAATATTACATTTCCTTTGGTTTAAAACATAATCCAGCATGCCCCACAAAAATAATAACAGAACATTGTATAGCTCTCTTAACTGGATCAATAGCTGGACCGCACTATCAGATTACTTGATCTTTAAAAAAAAAAAATCTATGATACACTAAGAAATCTGTAGAAATGTGTCGGTTGTATCTTTAGTCAGCAAAAACACCAAAGCTAAAATAAAGGTTTGCCTCAACTTGTTTTCCATTTCATTAGAAGATGGCTTCATAAAGTCTGTCAAGATCCTACAGAAAACATTATATTTTGCTATACAGCTGCAAGCATATACATGTTCCTGCAGCCAGATATAATTGTCACTTACCCTGCTCATCCAGCAAGACATTATCAGGCTTTATGTCCCTAAAAAAGAAATTTAAAAAAGAGAGAAAATACATCAATAAAACCAAAATTATGACAATAAAGGTCTAGGGTAGGATATAAGAGCTTCATAAAGTATCTCACATTTGCTCTGTGCTCTGTAAATGTTATCAATGAGTGTCGTTCTACATGCAGTTATAAGTAGTTAAATCATTACTGGGATCATGAGTGCTAATTAAAATTAGAAACATAGTTTTGGTTTTGGTTTTAATTGATTTGTAGGCACCAAATTTCTTATAGTTTCCATGTTTCATGAATTTCTATCGTCCTCTGGCAGCAATATTATTTCTCCCTGCCTTGTCTTCTTTCGCCACAATCATCAATTTTGTATATAGTACTGCCAAAGAACAGAAAACTGTGCTAGTTCTCTCTTTAGTAAAGTTAACACAGTTTTATTGATGTATTGATTTAAAATATTTCCTACTTCCATTTATTACTAGCTGATTCCACATAATTGATGAAATTTCACAAACTGTAAGTCTGTTTTTAAAACAAGGAGGTACTGCCAAATATTCTTTGTTTCTAATTCAAGCAAATTGAATCATTAAAAAATAAACTGATTTTCAAAAAAGTTTTACTGTTAATTAATATAAAATAATGCCATACATACGCAGGCTCCCTTGAAGTCTATTTTGTTAGTTTAACTGGGAGCCACTTGCATTGTGCAATCATAGTTTACATTTGTTGGAGTGCTCAGTTTGAGCCATTTGATCCTCATCTTACTGGATCATCATCAGTCAAAATCTGGCAGCCTGACTCAGGTCATGGGTATTGTGAGAATAAAATACACATGGGGAGGAACAGTGGGGAGAGAATTCATAATGAGTTTCTGTTTCAATTTATTATAGACAAAAAAACCCAATAGCAAGTTACGAATATAAAGATTGCATTAGATAAATCAGTTTAACTAATAAGAATATTTCACAAATATAATATAAAACACTTCAAACCCTTTAATAAAATTAATATGTTATTAAAGACCATGTTTTTACACACATAATTAAACATCTGGCTGCTATCTCTGTAATTTTAAGATTTTCATCTGCAAATAAAATTGTAACATACTCAGAAGTATCTCTGGTTTATTTCTGGGTTGGTTTAAAAATATGCCGTATAACAACCTGCTGAAGACCCTTATAAAATTTACAATAGAATAAAATATGCTCCACCATTCAAGAACAATATCAATACAGGGAAAAAACTTTGAGAGACTGGGATTTTTTTTAAAAACAAACAAACTACCATACTGAATATTTGATGAAAACGCATTTAATTTGGCTTTTGAAAAAAGCTATTCTGTAAACTGAAAAGTATATCTTTAATAAATTCAAAAGTTACAAGGGAACACAAGTTATAAAACTTTGGCTGTAGCCATTAATTCCTCTGTTGAATTAGGCAAGCCGTTGGCTGACTGTGAATGAAATAAATTCACATTAATGTAATAAAAGAGGTTTTTGCCAGAACTCAGAATTGACTTAGTGCTTTTTGGGGAGGCCTAGGACAGAACAGCAATATGTCGACTCTGTAAACCACTAAGAGAGGGCTATAAAGCACTATGAAGCGGTATATAATTCTAAGTGTTATTGCAATTTATACTTGTCAGGACTGACTGGCTGAATCCTCTGTGCAAGATCTCTCTGTGCTTGCCTATGGAAAGACACAATCCCTCCAAGCACTGGAAATGCTTGGAAATCCATCCCTTCACTGAGAACTACATAGCCAAAAAGGCATTAAGAGTTGTTAACCTAATCCTACGTAACTTTTTCTCTGGTAATATCACACTACTAACAAGAGCATACAAAACATTTGCTAGACCAATACTCGAATACAGCTTATCAGTCTGGAACCCACATTACATATCTGATATGAGAAAGTCCAGAAATATTTCACAAGAAGAGTTCTCCACTCCTCTACTCATTGTAGAATACCTTATGCCACCAGACTTGAAATTCTAGATCTAGAAAACCTTGAATTACGCCGTCTTCGGTCTGATCTAAGTATGGTATATAAAATCATACATTGCAACGACTTACCTGTCAATGAATACTTCAGCTTCAACCATAACAACACAAGAGCACACAATAGATACAAACTCAAGGTTAACCGCACCAAACTTGATTGCAGGAAATACGACTTCAGCAACAGAGTGGTCAGTGTCTGGAATACTCTATTCTGACTCTGTGGTTTTTCCCCCAAACCCCAAAAACTTTAACCTTAGACTGTCTACTATTTTCTCACCCCTTTCCTAAGAGGTCTGTAGGGGGCGTGCATAAGCGCACCAACGTGCCTACCATCCCTGTCCTATTGTTTCTTTTATTTTTCTTATATGTACCCAATTCATGTATTCATAACTATGTATATACTTATACCTGTTATCTTGTAAGCGATTGACAAATCAAAATAAATAAATAAAAATAAATAAATTAACAAGTATGACTGTTTCACTGAAAGGAGCAAGGGGGAAGCAAGTCAAGAAGTAAAAGAAATAAGGACATGTTTTATTTCTATTTAAATAAAGAAGACAACTTGATTCTCTAACCACTAGCCCAAAACTTTGAAGAATATGACTTACAATCAGGCTTTTTGATAGTTGATTGCAAGTAGTCCAGGCAGAGTAATTTAAATCACAGAAGGGAGAATAGGAGTCACTGTTTTCTTAATTTAAAACCTTCTTCCACTCCTGTATTGATGCTATAATTAGTTCACAAGGAGGGGGCAGGAAAGAATCCATATTTATTTTTGTCTCATTTATTTTGCAATTTATAATAAATGGTATTTATTCCTACTGTTATTCCTACAACAATGTGACACTGATCCAAATTAACTCTTTTTCTGTAGCTATGTTTTACTAATGAAAAAAGACTTAGAGAAATTCAAAATCAGATGACATCTCTTTCCCTTTTCTTTTGGAAAAGAAAAGTTCGCTTTCAGTTCTCTCCCAAATACAGCAAACTTTAAATGTAAAGACAAGAGTTTTCAAAAGAACGTTCCATATATTTTAACATGGTTTTAGGAATATTTAAGATATTCCAGATCTAATTGCAACTGAGAAGTTGCCAGGAAGAAGAGAGTGAAAATCTCATCATGTATCATGAATTAACTTTAGATATATATTTTTATAATTACTAATTACAGTGATTTAATCTAAGAAACGTTAAGGATTTTTTCAGACTGGATTGAAAAAAATATTATTTGGGCCTTTCTCCAATTTCATGCACCACATCTGAAAACTGTTTCTGTTTTGAGAGGCCATTTAGTAAAATGTGTTTGGTTCATAGCCTAGGAATTTTTTTTCCCAGTTTTTCAAGATATAAGTGAGAACATTCCCATAAAAAGAAAATCAATGACACCACTTACATACTCTAATATGGGGAAATGGCTTCAGATAAGATGTTCTTTAATTTGGTTTTTATATGACCTCTCCCTAACCACGCACATAAGATGCACAAAACAATCTATGTCAGGAGGAAACTCAGACTGCAGTTTCAGTGGTGTTGCTAAGATCCTTCCAGATGTGAACACCCTCTGCCCGTTTGTCTTTCAGAATCTAATATATTCCTGAGGCTGTGGAAAGTCAAACCTTGTCCCACTGTGTCATTCTCAGAAGTACATCACAGAGTGTACGGACTGACTGACTCATACAGTATAGAGCTACATGTACTGAAACAGCGTAATTTAGCCTTTCCTGCAAATGGGAGGATTTGCTCATAGATATACCAACACTCTTTCTCTCGCCTGTTCTAATTTACTATCAACGCTACTTGAGGACTGTTCACACTTTTCAATCAAGAGCCTTGTAGTTTCAGATATGCCCTGTGACTTAGGTTTTCATGTTATCAACAAGGGCTGGCATTCTGACTAGTATCAATGGTGGAAAACGAACATACTGTACCTGTTAAGTTCTGGGCTTCAGAGAAACCAAAGTCTTACCTTAGGCATGGGAGCCAGCTGGGTGACCTTGAGTAGCCTTTTCTTTTCAGCCCTAGGAGGAATTAGACTATGGCACAGCCCTTCCAAATACTGGTGCCAAAAACTTGCAAGGGCTTGTTCTGCTAGGAGCGACACTAACTTTAATAGCAATAGCACTTAGACTTATGTTTTACAATGCTTCACAGCCCTCTCTAAGCGCTTTACAGAGTCAGCCTATTGCCCCCAACAATCTGGATCTCCATTTTATTGACTTCGGAAGGCTGAGTCAACCTTGAGCCTGGTGAGAATTGAACTGGCAAATTGCAGGCAGCCGGCAGGCAGTAGAAGTAACCTTCAGTACTGCATTCTAACCACTGCGCCACCATGGCACATGTGATCCACACATGAAAAGTGTACATTTCAGTGATATCTGATTTCCAACTCAGTAGGCTCTTATGTAGGCTTGAGATTTCTATTTTCAAATGACAATGAAAGTAAATTCTCACTTTCCAAAATTTCATCTCAAGATAATTCTTGGTGATCTTTGTTTGGAATAAAATATATAAATAAACCTTCAGGAAGAGGACTGGATCAAATACATTATAATGGAACACATTATAATGGAACACCAGAGCATATTTCTAAACATATCTGTATTTGTGCATATTTTGAGTGTACAATCGTTTGCTAAGTCTTTCTCAAGTAATATTTCAGTACAATTATTGTTCTTTAAAGAATTGCATACAGATTGCCTGTGCAGGAGTGTATGTTTGTATGTGTTTGCGTGTATTTGTATATGTCTCTGAATGCATGTGTATATATTCAGATTTATAATTCAGTTGGACTGATTTTTTTTAAAAAAATTGGATGAACAGGGTTTCCACTGGGCATGACTTTTAAGCTATTTTCCCCCTTTAAAACTAAGGCCTCTGTGGTAAAGCAGATACTTTGACAAGAGGAGAAAATTGTCGTGTAAGGGGAAGCTCTGGGAACACAGCCATCTCAAACAAGCTTAGCTTATTTCAGAACTTATTTTTTGCTATGAAACGTGGAATATCTAGTGATTAAGGCAC